TGTTATGTTACAGGAAAGTTGTTTCAGAACTGCTAAAACTAACTGAAATATGCAAGGTCTTCTCTAAGTTACAGAGTGAATACAGCTATCTTCAAATATTCCTCCCTGCTCTCTGATTTCATTTCATTTCCCAACAGTTTATAATCCGAGAATTAACAGATTGAATTGGTGTGGTCTAACCTATACAGACGATGTAAATACAAGACAGTTCAGCCTTCAAAGATTTCAACAGCAATGTCTGATTTTTCTTGCCTGTTCTTTAGGAGTGACAATTTGGGAGTTGATGACGTTTGGAGGGAAGCCGTACGACGGTGTACGAGCCAGGGATGTACCTGACCTGCTGGAGAGAGGAGAGAGACTTCCCCAGCCTCCCATCTGCACACTCGACCTCTACATGGTCATGGTCAAGTGTGAGTACAACTATTATACCCCAGTTTTTCTACTGTAACAGTTAAACCTACAGTCTAGTCAAGTGTATGAGGACATGTACTGTATCAAGGTATTGTTGCCACTATTTTGCTGGTCCTTTTAGTACAACTATTATGATACCCAGTTTGATTTTTCTGCAGTTAAACACACAGTGTAGTCAAGTGTTTGAGGACCATCATGGCATTGTTGCCAATTTTTTGTTGGTCCCTTAGATTATTTTTCCCATTAACCCAAGCATGACGAATCTTGTCAAAAGTGGCCACCTATCTACTGTGACCATATATTATACAAGTGCCTAATAAATGCATAACCAGTATGAAAAGTTTAACTGTAACTAGTTCATTTTGCAATGGTTTAGTGGTTTTTGTTTGACTGTATACTTGCTTCCCCCAGGCTGGTTACTGGATGCCGATGCCAGGCCCAACTTTGGAGAGTTAGTGGACACTTTCCACAAACTGGCAGCTGATCCCTCCAGATACATTGTAATCCAGGTCAGTATATGTTTATCAAGTATGATTATTGAACTATAGAAAAATTACTGCTGACTGTCAACACACAAAACCTCACAGTACCTTGCTTTAACCTCTATGCAAAGTCTGTTTTTATGTGAGCCATCTCAGACTATTTCCTTTTACTCCCACATTTCTTTACTGTTGAGACAAGTTCAGAACTTTTCTTGCCAAAAAGCCTTATTGCTTGTTCTGTAAGTTACTTGCTTGTTTAAAAAGGTTTATACAGAAATGTGATAGGAATAAGGAGGGAAGAAACTTTTTGGGGTTTTGCTTTGTCCTGTTCTGTTTTGAGAATAACAAATCCATGGAACAATCAGTTTATTCTGCTTAAATATTTTTTTAAGCATGCTGATATCTTTCTGATCATATCTATGCGTGCAGATCTTTCACAGATTCTGACTTCTCTCTCTCTTCCTCTACTGAACATGCCTGGCCCTATAGCGCAGGAAGCTACATGTAGACACGGTACTGGTCTCTACATCTTCTTGTGGTGACTGTGCCGTATAGATCACATGTTACTTGATGTCTACTGCACCTTTGCATTCTTTATTCTCCTCTTTGATTCTTTGCAATGTTATCATGGCATAGAATAAACCCAATCACTTGATCTAGACATTTAGTGTGAATATAGGTTACTTTCAAATACTCAACAAATTTGTCTGCTAGATATGTACGAAATAAGATGACAGAAGGCTATACAAATGTCATTTTTCATTCTTGGATTCAAAAGATGAAAAATGCCAAACTGGAAAGCCAAGATGAAAACATGCTTTTAGAAGGAAATACAGTACTCTCTAACCTTTAGCACACTGAAGTAGCCATTTGACTACCAATTCTCTAGTGGTTACTGGGTTAGGCAGCTTTTTAAGGTATACAGGTTAAGGGAGTACAGTCAGTCTAAATATGGTCAGATGCTAGTTTTCCTCTCAGCTTCCAAACTCTGTTTTGGAAATGAATGATGGCTGAAGTTTTACTGAAGAGGTTTCAAAAGTAGCCTCTGTAGCAGGACCAAAAACTGGGGGTCTTTGGGAGCTTTTATGTGCTTTTTTGATTGCATATAGAC